TTCCCTGATTTTCCCCTCACTTTCAGACAAAATTTTGAATTTTTCCCTCACCCTAAAGAATATTTTGATTCACTATAAAAATTATTAGATACTCGAAAAAATGTTTAATTACATTTATTTACGACTTTTGTAATTGTAAAATTATTCGAAAACTTCAATAATACGATAATATTTTTTAAAAAATATTTAATTATTATTATTTTTTCCTAGGAATTAAGATATTCAAAAATTTTAAATCCAAACCTTGTGAAATTGAATAAATTATAAGAATATTATTAAAAAACATAATCCAAGTCTTTGACTCAGAGTGATCAATTTCTTCATTTTATATAATATAACAAATTAAAGATGATCGAGTAAAAAAATCATTATTTTATATTATAAGAATATTGTTACTGTAACTTCTTCAAAATTATTTTCATCATTTTAATTTAATTATTTTCTACAATTTTTAACTAAAATTCTTTTTTAAATCAATTATTATTTTAAATAGTTTTTGAAAAAGTTCTCTGAGAATTTTCAAATTCATTTGTTTACAATTCAATTTTACTTTCAATTATTCTGAAATTCTTCAATTAAATATATATTAGAAAATTGAAATTTCAAGTAAAATTGAAACAAAATTTGTTAAAAATATTAATTTTACAGAATTGTTAGTTAAAAGTAGGAAAAATTAAAATTTTCAAAGATTTTAATATGAAAACTTTTCAAAATTCAATGATTTCCAAAATTACACTCTATAATACTTTTAATATTCAATTATTTTTGAAAATTTTACCTAAAATTCATTTTCAAATCCATTTTCATTGGAAAATCGTACGAGAATTCAATTATTAAAATACAGAAATAAATAATTTATTGAATAATTGAATGCTTCTTAAAATTGAATTCTTAGAAAATAAAAAAAAATTGAATTCCTAAAAAGAATTTTATTCTTTATAAAAATAATTGAATCTTTGTAAAAAGTTTTATTATTTATAAAAATTTATAAAAATTTATAAAAATAATGAAATTATTAAGAAGAATTTTGAAAAAATTTATAAATAATTGAATTCCTATGAAATTTCATTAATTATTATAAAAATAATTAAATGTTTGCGTATAGAATTTTACTAAATTTTCTTTTAAATAATTGAATTATTCTGGAACATTTTATTAAAATAGTAAATATTGAAAAGCATTGAATTGAGGAATTTTTTTTTTAATCAATTAAAATAATATAATATTAAATAAATAATTGAAATTTTTAGAAGAATTTTATTAAAATTTTTGAAAATAATTGAATTTTGGAAATAAATTTTATTATTTATAAAGATAATTGACATTTTGACGAGAATTAAAAAAAAAATGTTAAACATAATTGAATTTCTGCGAAGAATTTTATTACTTTTGAAAATAATTGAATTTCTGCAATTATTTGTAACTTCTGCAAAATTCAATTTTTAAAAGTGTTTTTAACAAAACTTCTTCTATAAATCTATTATTTTTAATTTAATTAATTAAATATATAGATATTAAAAAATGTAACTAATTTCAGAAGAATTTGAATTACTTATTAAAATTTTTCAAAAATCTAAGTTCTTTAAAATTTCTAATCAAATTCATTGAAAATTGAAATTTTATAAAATTTCAAATTGAAATCCTTTAAAGTTCATCTTTATATCGTCAATTAATTTTGAATTATTTAAGTAAAATTATTCTTTAAATAATTTATAAGTAACAATTTAAATTTTTTAAAAAAGAAATTAATAATAAAATTAATATTTTAATCATTGGTTCAATTAAAATAACAAAAAAAGTTCGAAAAATAAAATATAAATAGAATATAATGAACCAAAAAACTTTTATTATTATTAACTGTTATTAAACTATTCGGTATTCATAGCATTGAATCTTATATGTAAATTCTTACGAAATTATTATTGATTTTTATTTTAATCAGTGAGTCAATTTTGAGTAAAGCTTATTAAAAAAAAAACAATTTTTTAACATTTTAATTTTCTCAATACATGATAATAAGTGTACCTACGTATCAAAGAAAGGAATCTACACATAACAATAATAGGGTAGGATTTCATTTTGGCCCAGTCATTCCAGACCGGAATGAAATGATAGGGAGTGTTCGAGTTTCCAGAAATGATATTTCACTTCGCATATGTCTCCCCAGAAAAAAAATTGTGCTCCATTCAACAAAAATTATATCTCTGCGGTCAAAAAAATTACACCCGGTATAAAAAATTAAAATACTAGGAACGAAACGGAAAATAAGAATCTAGAGGGAAAAAACTTTCGTTTCAGGACAATTTTTCTAATTATGAAATTATATATTTGTTTAATTTAATTTTTATTTAATTCAAGATTTCTTTCTTTCAATATTCATTCAATATTTATTTTATTTAATTTGATATTTAATTTAATAGTTATTTAGTTTAATTTGTTATTTAATTAAACATTCTTTTAGTTTAATTTTATATTTAATTCAATATTTATTTAGATTAATTTTATATATAATTCAATATTTATTTAATTTAATTTTATATTTAATTCAATATTTATTTAATTTAATTTTATATTTAATTCAATATTTATTTAATTTAATTTTATGTTTAATTAAATATTTATTTAGTTTAATTTTATATTTAATTCAATATTTATGTACCTACTTAAATAATATTAATTCAATTTAATATTAAATTCAATATTAAATTTAAGGTTAAATACATTTTTAAAAAATCCAAAAACAGATTTTTCCAATATATTCACAATTGAATTTCGCCCAACTACATTGAAATTTGAAAATAAATATTTTCTTCTCTAATATTAGTATAACAATATAAATTAGGTAAATATTGAGAAGTAATGAATGAATGAATGAATGATAGTTGGAAATTATCTTCAGAGCAATTAATGAGAAAAGTTTATCCTATATTTTTCTTGATGTAAATTGGAAGCGAAGACAAAGTAGTTCATGGATAAAGACTTAGGCACACCAGGTGCTGGCGAACAATTCGAGTAAGATATTTGTACTCAGTTATTCCGACAGCACCTGAGAATCCTATTAGGACAAAAGTTGCTAAGAAACTTTGCCTTCGCCGTTTACACTTTACTTGTTTAGCGGCAAAGTGGCCTATGGGTGCAGTGAACTTGTAGGGATTCACAGAGAGAGTGCGGTAAAATTCTGATTGAGTGACAGTCATCGTCCCAAGGGTCTTTTTAAATATTGCCTCAGTTCAAATTACATTTATTTTCATTTTCTAATTACCGACCGAAAATTATAATTTATAATCACTGTTATTTCAATAAATATTCTCTATTTTTTTTTTAATTATTTCATATTATTAAAATTACTCCTTGCATTCGAATTAGTAAAAATATTTACTAACTTGAACTTAGTGAATGACTTGTTTCTTTTGAATTAGTAAATTTAACAAATTAATTAGTAGAAATTAAATAATTATAATATTTAATAGCAACAATTCTTACTCACTTTTTTTTAAAAAATAAAATTAGCAATTTTAAAAATAATAGAATGTAAAAATTTGTAATTCTAATTTTTTTTTTTTATAAAAATAAAATATGAATTGGAATATAGATTATTACTATTATTATAATTGAAATAATCATATATTCTAACATAGCGAATTCAGGGAAAAGTCAAGAATTTTTATTAAAAGTACTGAAAAAAATTTAATTTTCAGAATTCATGAGAAAATTCAGAATTTTTGGGTCTTTTTTCACAGTTTGGTTGTTCTTTTAAAAAAAAAAGAAAGGGAAAATAGCGAGTGAAACTTTTTTTATTTATATAAATAATTTCTAATATTCAGGAGTTGAAATCGAGAAAGAACTTTTTGAATAGAAGTTCTTTTCTGATTTTTTTCTTTTTCACACCTTCGGATTCATTTTTTATTCGTTTTTGTTCTTGAGACGATTTGCACTTGTGGTTATACTGCTAATTAAGATAGGAAATGCGACGATGCGTCCACAGTAGATAAAAGACGAATTAAAAAGTTTTTAGCCGCAACTTTTATATCTGTTCACACGATCACGTATATAAAAAAGAATTTTCTTTTAATACTGTTCTTATCTTCTCTAATTTGAATTTCTTAGTTCGTTTCATTTTAATTTTATGTAACGTAATTATATACATAAAAGCTCCCTTCATTTTATTCAACTCCTACAATTTCATTGATATTTTTCCTTTTGTTTTGCCTTCTTATTTTTATTTATTTTTTAATCAATTTGTTAATAATAAATAATGTGTAAATAACTTTTTTTTTCATTTAGAAACAAAAATATAATACGATACTGTAAAGAAAAGAGGATCAATAATAAATTTTTCATTAAAATTCCAACTATGATACATCCGTTATAATTTAATTTTTTTCAACTGAAGCATTTTGAAAACTTTCTCAGATTTCCACCTGAACCATTAAAACTTTACTCTTTCTTTACGATTCTATTGTGCGCATTTGTAGCGAGAACTTAAGCGTTGAAAGACATAAAAGCTCGAAATCAGTTGAAAGAAATGAAAGCAATAAGCAATAAAAATAAAATTAAGTGGAAATATTGTGTTCGTTAATAACCAAAGTTAAGTTTCTTAAAAAAAAAAATTATAATTCATTTCTTTCTCTATTTTTTTATTCTCTCGAAAAATGTTGTTTTGATAATGATCGATTATTTTCGAAAAATTAAAACGTGTATTTAATTTAATTTATTATATAGTACCTAAATAATAAATAAAACTTTATTTATTTATTATTATTCTATTTAGTTTAAAATATAAATAATAGAAAAATAACATTTAACTGTAAGTATTTAATTAAATTAAGTCGTTATTTGCTTAATTTTGCAATTATTTAAGCAGAGTACAAATATTTACATTCGTTTATATTAATACGTAATTTAATTCGTACGAGGATTGACTTAAATTTGCCTAATTATAAACTTTTAATTAGTGTTTCGCATTGAATTAATTTAATACCATTAAATTTTGTACTCACTGTAGACGAGAAGAATGAAAATCAGAACCCGCAATGGCGACCATCTGGGCGACCAACTCATGTCCAATCCGTCATTGGTATCTCGTTATGACGACAACCTCTGAAAATTAAAACAAATCATCATAATTATTACACTGTTAATAATTATTAAAAATAACAAATTAAAATTATATAAAAATGTAATAAATAAGTGAAATTCAAAAATGAAATTAAAAAAAAAAAATTGTAGCGCAAAGAAATAAATAATTCTGATAAAATTAGAAATGAAATTAAACAATGAGAAATTAAAAGATGAAAATAAAAAAATTTCAGCAACAAAAATTGAATAATTATAATAAATATTAAAATAATTAATCAATAAAATAAGATTTTGAATCCTTATTAATAAAATCAGATGTCTGTCTGTACATTGCTTAAAACTTCAAAATGTTAACATGATTAGTTATTATGGACATCAGAGACAGCTAGTAAATAAATAAAAATAAATTAAATTAAATTCAAAAATAGGTTATACCAAGCAACAAATAATTTTAATAAAATTAAAAATAAAAGTAAAAATGAAATTAAAATCCAAAATTAAAAAAATGATATTATACCGAAAAATAAATAATTTTAATAGATATTTATATTTTATTCAATTTTTTCGAAATTCAAAGCTCTTTTTAAATTAACTTTAAAATTCCTTATGTGGTTGAGCAAAAGAAATAAATACGAATTTTAAATTTTACTGAAATTTTAATTTCAATAAATTTTTATTTTTACTAGATTTTGAATTACTTTGTATTTTCAATTTTATTTCACTTTTTATTTTATTTAAATTCAAATTTGTTTTACCATACAATTAATTTGCATTCCTTATTTTTATTAGAATAATAAGTAAATAAATAAAAAAGAGTAAAAATTTTCATAGAATTCAGTCATTATATAGAATTAAAAATATCTTTCTTTCAATAGTAATATTTTTTATACGTTAATTGAATTTAAAAGAAATTATATAACTAATTTGCTACTAGTAAATTATTTAATGCTAAAATGTTTAGTTTTCAGTACACTGAAAAAAAAAGTTCATTGAATCAAGTAAATGCATTTTCTTGACCTGATTTACTTGAAACAAACCCATATTTTCTTATTGGAAGAAATTTATTTTCTTGTGTCAAGTAATTTTGAGCATTGATCAAAGTTATTGGAATAAGAAAATATGGGTTTGACATAAGTAAATATCTTACTGTTTCAAACGAACTGTTTTACATGCGCCAAGTCTCGAAAAAGTATTGAATCAAGAATATCATGTTCTCACGTCAAGTAATTTACCTTGAGTCATTTGGTATCTTGAGTCAAATAATTTTTTTATTTCCTTTAAAGCAACTATTTATTTCATCCAACACCCATAGTCTTGAGCCAAGAAAATGGGAAGATTAATACAAGTTAATAATTGTTTCAACTCAATTAAAAATTATTTTGTTTCAAAGAAATATTAATTAATCTAAGCATTTCTTTTACTTGAAGCATTTCTATATTCTCATGTTTCAAAATCATTAATTTCTTGCGAGAATGTTATATTTTCTGGAATGAAATATTTTATTTATTCAATTCAATTAAGTGTAAGATCTTAATATAAGTAAATATTTGTTTCAAGTCGATTAAAAATTATATTCAATTAATCCCATATTTATTTGAAGAAAGAAATTCATTTTCTTGTGTCAAGTAATTATTAGCATTGAACAGAATTCTTGAATTAACAATTTAGTATTTGGCAGAACTCAATATGTAATTATTTCAACCAAATATTTTACTTTTCCGAAGTACCAAAAAGTATTGAATCTAGAATATCATGTTCTTAAGCGAAATAATAAAGTATTGTCTGGAGAATTCATGTTTCTTGAATCGAATCATTTTATTTATTTGCTTTGAAAATTTTTTTTACTTAACACAATGCCGGTGTTCTTGATCCAAGAAAATATTTTTCTTCAAATGTATATGCAACTTAAATATCAGTTTTTGAAAACTGTCCATTGAGGCTAGGATGGCATAGTGGTAGCGTGACGGCTTCTGGTGCGTGCAACCCGAGTTCAATTCCTCCGACCGTGGAAAATTTTCTTTCAAGGTATATTTGTTGTATTTGTGTTAAGTATTAATTAAATGTAAATATATATGTAAAATAATAATTATTTAATTATTTAAATAAAAAATATAAATGTTAATTAATTAAATAATAAAAATGTTTGACCTAAGTATTAGAAAAGATGGGATGGAGGTAAGGGGGGGGGGGGGGTAATTTAAGTAAATAATTTACTTGTATTGAGAAAGTATTTTTTTGATTGAAATCTATAAATTTTCTCAAATCAAGAAAATATTTTCTTGGACAGAGAACATACTTTCTTGATTTGATACATAAATGATTTTGAATTAATATATTCTGCATTTCTTACATGCTACTTAATTTCTTGGTAGAATTCCATATTTTCTTGGATCAAGAATATCTGTTCTTCTCACAAAATAAATGTTTTCTTCATTTAATCTTGAATTACTTGAACGAACGTTACAAAACATTGAATGAATCGAATAAAATAATTCAATCATCTATATATATTCTTAGAACAAGAAAATATTTTATTCATTTAAAACATTTTATATTTCGTATAAGAAGATTAACTTCTTGGTCGAATTCCATATTTTCTTGGATCAAGAATATATGTTCTTCTCCCAAATATCCTATGTCAAGAAAATCGTTTTCTTGAATCAATACTTTAATAGTCTTGGCCGTATTCAATCCCACGATTTGCTTCAACCAAGAAAAATTTTCTTGGTTCAATACTTTTTTTTTTCAGTGTAGTTTTGGTCAATATTGGGTCAAACAAACTGTAATTCAAAATATAATTTTATCCTTAAATCGCATTAGTTTTTATACTTTTTTCAAATTTAAAGAAAATTATACTTAACCTACATAATTTTATTTGATAATGAAATGTGTAATTTTCAGTAGTTTTGGTCAATATTGTGTCCGGCAAATTTAATTTTAAAATGAAATTTTATTCCTAAATTGCAATAATTTTTCTATTTGTTTAAAATTAAAGGAAGTTGTAACTAATTCTATTTGATTGTAAAATATTTAGATTTCGGAGTAGTTTTGGTCAATATTCGGTTAGACAGTTTTTAATTAAAAATATAATTTTTACTGCAAATTGGAAGATTATATTTATATTTTACACATTTTGTTACAAAATGTATAATTCTATATAATAAAATGCCTAGTTTTCAGTAGTTTAGGTCAACAATTAATTAGACAGTATCGAATAAGAAATATAATTTTATCTTTCAATCAGTTTATTTTTTTCTACATTAGCTTAAGTTGAAAGAAGTTATAAATAATTTTCTTTTATAATAAAATGGTTCATTTTCAGTAGTTTTGGTCAATATTGTGTCAGGTAAATTTAATGTTAAAGTGCAATTTTTTCCCTAAATTGAAATAATTTTTCTATTTGTATAAAATTAAAGGAAGTTGTGACTAATTCTATTTGATTGTAAAATATTTGAATTTTGTAGTGATTTTGGTCAATATTAGGTCGGGAAAATTAAAATTTAAAAGTATAATTTTAACTTTAAGTTGCAATATACTATTTATAATTTGTTTAACTTTTTATAATTTGTAAATATTTTCATTTGTTAATGAAATTGGTAATTTTCAGTAGTTTAGGTCATCGATCGATGAAATAGTGCATTGAATAAAAAATATAACTTTACCTTTCAATTCTTTTATTTTTTTCTACATTCGCTAAATTTGAAAGAAGTTATAATTAATTTCATTTTTATAATATAATTTTTAGTTTCTAGTAGTTTTGGTCAATATTTGGTAGGACAAACTTAATTTTAAAGTGTGATTTTATCCCTTAATTGCAATAATTTTTTATTTGTTTAAAATTAAAGGAAGTTGTAACTAATTCTATTTGATTGTAAAATATTTTGATTTCGCAGTAGTTTTGGTCAATATTAGGTCAGACAGTTTTTAATTAAAAATATAATTTTAACTGCAAATTGGAATATTATATTTATATTTTACACAATTTTTTACATAATGTAATTCGATATAATAAATATTAAATACCTTATTTTCAGTAGTTTTTGTCAACAATCGATCAGACTGTATCGAATGAAAAATATAATTTTCTTTGATAAAAAAAATTCCTAATATTCAGTAGTTTTAGTCAATAATCAGTTAGGTAGTACTTAACTAATATCATGAGAAAGTACGGTTAAAGATAAATAAACTATTATTATTTAAACTTAATTTATAGTTAAACATTTAGTAAATTTTTTTAAAAGTATATCTATTTTAAAAATATGTATGAAAATATATAAAAATGGGAGAAATAGAAACAAAAAAAAAACTAGAGAGAAAGAAACTTTAGATAAGAAATATTTAAGTTTTACGAAACTGTATTAAACTTTCATGAAACATTATATTAAACATTGAAGATAAATCATAAACGGAATAAAGTTTCCCTTAAGCTTTTTTTGAAAGTTTAAAATTCTCTGCACATGGAAATTTAAATTTTTAAAGCTTTTATCAATTTTTTTTTGTTTTAGTAGTTTAATATTTTTGTTAATTCTATTTCTTTCTTTACTATCGTTTTTCAATTTTACTTTATTATTATTATTTATTATTTTATTTTTCTATAGTTTATAACATTTTATTTTTTATTGTTTCATGAATATAAAATTTCTTTTCCTAAAATTTACTAATTATTTTCTTTTATACCAAAGAAATGTTGCATTATTTAGAAAATTCAACAATATTACTCCAAAGTAATGCAATTTTCAAACATGTATATAGAGTGGATCGAGTTTTATGTGTTTAATGAACAGAATATCGCCCCCAAAGTTTTGTGAAATATAAGTTTGCACAATAAATATCGTGTTTCAAATTTCCGCAGCGCTTTAAAGAGCATAAATTATATTATGCACTTTTAGTTCAGTTGCAAATAAATATACATACGATAATTATATTTAATTCTTGAATCTGATTTTTTTTAATTTAAAAATTTATAATTAGAAAATTAAGAAAAAAATAAATATTTTAATTTATTTACTATTTAATTATAA